TGCTGAATGCCATTAAATAATCCTTAAGGTGATCATATACATTTCCATCAAGAGCCTATACGAGGGAAAGAATTTAAGAAAATTAAGAAAAGCAATATGCACTTTTATGTATAATTTATTAGTATTCATGTTTAGATTTGTAAGATGCTCATGCAAATTTTTTTAAAACACATATTCACCTATCGTTATTAGCCTGGATAGTGACAGGTGGACGTCTGTCATTTTTGACAAGGAGGAATGACAGTGCTTTATTTCCATTAGATGGCACCACAGAGCACTGTAACGATATCACGTTATATTAAATTATTTCCGTTCAGTTGTGTAACACGGCCATAGCAGAAGAGTGAGGTCAAGTTTGGAGAAGTGATTACGCTCAGGAAGATGTCATTTATGTCAAGAAAGAGACCTAGTAACTGTAAGGATATGGGGCTTCTACCAGCCCGAGCACTCCGCAAGTCCCTGTACCGCACTCCAAATGACATTACCAAGACACTCAACATCTGTACGCTTCAGATACACAGCTATTTGCTTATTAAAAACTGCTGAGCAATAGCTGCCACTTCACATAAGCACAACATACCTCTTTTGCGCACAGAAATATCAAATATGTAACAAAAATTTATCATAAACTTAGTAGTTAGGAGAGGATGACAAAGTTCAAGCTCAAAAGCTCTGTTGTAACCAGAGCCACAAAACCACATCGCAGGCCCTACGTTACACACAGTTTCATGCAAGTTCTGTATTAAACGTGTACAACTTTGCCAGTGACTGACAATTTCATTCAAATATTCAACTCTGGATATATTTAAATTTACATTATATGTATTTTTAAATATACCGAATTTCACAGATATACATTTAAATAGTATATTCACTGAAATAGTGCACACCAGATTTCAACAGATTCAAGAATGCATTTTTATACAAAATTGCATTTGATTATTTAAATCATTTTGAAAAGTCAGGGGGGGAAAAAAAGGGTGAAATTGCACAAGCCTTAAGACACAGTTTCTGCCCCAGCAAAATCAAGCCCCACATTTAAGACGAGGCTAACAGACATATGTCAATCAGACACAAATCACTCGGAACTTACGACGAACAGAAGAGATTTTCCTTCTGCAAAAAAAGTTTCACCCACCATCAGCACACAGCTACGGCAACCACCAGATGAAATTAAAACTTAACATACAGACACCCTCAGCGAAGGATGCTTTGAGGAAAATAATAAAATTGTGCGGCTGGAATTCTTGTGGCCAAAATTTTATATCCAAAATCCACTTTATACTACACTATTTTCTTCATCCTCCACCTACCAAGTGTAAAGTACTCTCTAGCACAGGTTGGTTTTTTAATTCAACTGTAGATATTAAACCTTGCTAGTGCAAGAACTACAGCCACCAGAAAACAAACA